GACTATTAATGTATATCCCGTATGCAATTCTAATAAAATTCCTTCGGCAATGTAAGCCGCCTTAATAACAAAAAAAATAAAAAAATAAAATAGTAGGTAACTTAAGAGATAGGTCAATACACATTAATGCATATCTATTTATATGAAAATACATATTTTCTATTATATGATCAGCTAGTAGAAAAATTATTATAAATTTGGCTCAGAAATCATGTGTATGAATGAATTTGGCTTAGAAATCATATACATGAATACACATCACATAACTTCATATATATCTTTTCAAAAAGGCACTTTTGGCTTATTTCTAGAGTACTAAAAAAATAATGAAAAGGCAATATGTACAAACTACATATTTCAAAGATACTAATAGTGAGACTTAAGCATATATGTGATTCATCTATTAAAAATATCTTTTACTAATCATATGAAAAAAATATATAAAATTATATAAAAGTAGAATAGCATGAGTAAAACTTATTATAATAAATATATACATAAAAATATTTAAGAAATTTTGAACAAAATTAGTACGATTAATTTCTAACAAAAAGATAAAATAAAATTTTTCTTTGTCTCATAAGTAGTAATTTAAATAATATACTTGAATCATGCACAGATTGGTATTATTTTGTAATTAAGAATTCTAAGATTATAAAAAAAAAATAGCTAAGGAGTAATTCATAGTTGATATTTAAAATAAAATAAATAAATAAAAGTAAAAATACTTATCATAATAAGATCAGAACTACTTGCAATAATAAACTTGCTTCAATATATAATGCTTCATTTTTTAACTAAAAAAAATATCAAAAAAAAATAAATAAATAGAAAAACAACAAAATAGAAGATAACAGTTTTTTCAAAACCCATAGTGACCTATATAACGAAAATAAAATACTTGAAGATAATGTCTTAGATATTAATAGCCAACTTTCTTAGAAAACCTCAACTAATTCACTATCTCAAAGTAACTATAAAAAAAGAGCTCAGAAAAGTTTAGTCTAGTCTTATTTCGATCTCAACACATCTGACTATTCTGAAGAACTCATATGCAAAAAATACAAAGATATTTTTTCAACTAGTTCTGGGTTTCAACTTTACAAAAATATCTTAAAAAACATCAAATTGTTGTACTAGCTATATGTCAAACTATTCTTCATTTTCCTAGAACTGATCCACATAATGATGAGGAACAAAAGATAAAAAATGATAAATTAATTACCTAGATCATTATTTTTTTTTTCCTTTGACAGTCATATCATAAACTTTATTAAGTTGTTAACTGTAGCTATAGCCAAGTTACATATGATTACTAATCTACCTAATTTCCTAAGTCTGACATCACCTAGCTGCTACTAGAGTGCTCAGATATGACCTGTCACACTAACCTTAAGGTTAGAACAAATTGTCTAACTAGTTTAAAGAAAACTCTACTACTTCCTTTTTCCTTTTTTAATTACTTCTAATACTCCTTTATTTACTGCTTTATTTATTCAAACTTTTTTACTTTCTCTCTTCTTTTTCCTTTCTAACAAAAGCTTTTTTCTTTCTTCATCTATTTGGGTCTTTACTACCTGTTTTTTCCTTGTTGAATTACTTCTTTTTTCCTTAGTCATAATTCCTTTTTCTTTTTTCTACTTGTTTACTTTTTCATATTGGTAGCTCCATATAACCTCTATAAAGCTTCTTTGCATAATAAAATGAGCACTATCTATCTATTCTTTTGCTTCTTTCTTCTTTGTTGTTAATGCTTGCAGCCTTTCTACTACTTCTTTTTCCTCAAGACCTATTACTAGATCTTTTCTTCGTT